GCAGATGGATTATTATTATTATTATTATTATTATATATATATATATCTATTCAAAAAGATGAATATCTAGCATGATTATTCTTTTTTTTCTTTTCTTTTATTAATTTGTTTTCTTGGCGACGTCAGCGATTCTGATAAGAAAAAAAACAAAAGAAAAAGTAAATGAACCGTTTCGATTCAAATACTTTTATGCGGTTTATGCAGAGAGAGAAAAAAAAAAAGGAAATTGGAAGAAGTTGTTGCGCGTACCAAGAGAATTCTTCTTTTTTCGTTGAATCATACAAAATTAAAATAATCATTCTTTCGTGCGCTTTTAAAAATCGTACATGATTTTGTGGTTATAGAAGAGATCGTGGTGGATCAATCGTTTCGAAGAATTTTTTACTCGACGATCGTTGGTATTAATGGCCACGGCAAAAAAATCCCGTTTATAAGTTTTTCGTTGCACATATATCCGTTTCTTTCGAATGCATCATAACACAACTTATATATAAGTAAGCAAACGCGAATAAGCACCTACTTTTTAAACATATGAATCATATTAGAAATTAAATGATTCATTTAGTTGTATATATGTATTTGAGTTATATTTACATTTGACATAGTAACCAAGAGATTTTTTTTTCCAATTATTTGAGAAAAATTACGCTATATACATATATATATATAAGTTCTCAGAAAAAAAAAAAACAAAAGAACAATGGAAGGACGATTAAACATATTCCGACAGTCTTTTTAAAATCTTTTTAGATAATTCGTAGGTGATATGTTTTAAGATAATTTTTTTTTTTATATAATCTCATACATTTCTCTATTTAATGCGAGATATTGCGTATTATAAGATGCCGCCATGGTTGGCAACGTCGCACGTCGTCGTTTCCTGTCTCTCTCTCTCTCTTTCTCTTTTTCTCCTTCTCTATTTTACTATTCGCGCGAACCCTACGGTTTATACGATATTACGAAAAAGTAGAAATTCGAGACGTTCTTCTAAAGATAATTTAAGAGAAAATAGATTCTTCTTATTATAAAACACCTTGACGAAACAACACTCTTTAGATTAATGTGCTCCACCAAAAAGTAACAACGCTATAATTATATTAGATAATTAATATAAAAAAAAAGAAATAAAAATGTGAAGATTACATTAAAAAAAAAAATAAAACAATTACACGAAAAGAAAAGAAAAATAAAAAATATGGGTTACTGAAAAAGTATGACGCATATATCCTCACCTCATCATAGTCATGGCAAACTAAAGGAAGATGTGTATATATGTATATCGTCGTATATTCAAGGCTAACAATTGTGAAGTAGTCACCACATTGTATTGAGCTGGCTTGCTCGTACGTGCCAGCACGCGCCTATGAAAAGCTTCCATTGTATATTTCGTCGAACGTGTCGGTGGAGAGTACATGAATCCGTACGATAAGTACGTTCTTTTTGCGATAGGAAACATCAACACAAGCTGAGAGATAAATGGCAAATGCACTCACACGTGGGATAGTGAGAGAGAGAGAGAGAGAGAGAAAGAGAGAGTAGTACGATGAAATAAATAGATCGCGACCGACGAGGGTCATTAATTTATATTTCGAACCTGTTGTACTTCTTATAATATAAAATCAACGAAATTATTCTATCAAGATTTGATGATTTTAAGAACGACGACGAAAGTTAATTTGTAAGAGATGTCCAACATTTGATAAATTATAGATAGCGAAACATTGAATTTTGTTCGTAAACAAACACACAAGTTATCATTCGTATTTTTAATACGGCGAATTAGCTTTTTTGTTTTAAAACGCTTCACACATAGCATATATATGTAATAAAGTCAATAAATACAAAATGAACGAATTTTCGAATTATCGAAAAAAAAAAAAAATATGATCATTTAACGATATATCCCCGATGTAAACACGATAATGCAAAGCTTTGTGTTGTCGGTTGTTGGAAAGAAAAGAAAATTCCAAATAACTTAATTTCTCTACGCGCTAGCATAAATCCTTTGGAGAAATTAAAAAGGCCTAATTCCCCCCCTTTATTCCGAATCCTATGCATACAATTATAAAGCGGCATCTTTCATTTGTTTTTTCTTCTTCTTTTTTTCTCTTTTCTCACGGTTACACCAACCGTGTCGGAAGAATAAAGAAAAGACGTTGCGACGTTGGCATCGTACGCGAAGTGCTACGCCTATGTGAACAGGGCGAGTTATAAAGAAAGGAGAAGAAAGGTGGGGATAGAGAAGGATAGAGAAAGAGAGAAAGAAAAAGAAAGAAGAAAGAAAATATAAATTACGAGAGAAAGATGAAGGAAAAAGATAATATAATGCAATTCCGTTAAGAGAAAGATAGTTTTCGCGAGCACCTGTCACCCCCGATCGAACATTCTCGAGAACTCGCCAGTGGAGGTTCTGATCGAGAGACGGAGAGTGCGCACCAACTTTTACTCTTTTTCTCTAACGACGACGACGACGACGACGACGAAGACTCGCCGGCCGGCATCCGTTCCAAATTTAAATTCGCAAGCTAGCTTTAGAAAGTTATGGTGGACGTGCTAGAAACGTACCTCACCGAACGTTTTTTCTTTATTTCTCTCCCTTGTTTCTTTTTGTACTCATTCTTTCTCTCTTTCTCTTTCTCTTTTTCTTTCTATTCCTTCTTTTATTCCGGCAAATGTAAAAAAAAAAGGGAATAATTGTAGGTTAAGAACGCTTTGAAAAATACTCACGAATCGTATCCTTTTTTATCACGACGTTAAAAAGCCACTAGAAACAATAAGGCGACAACAGGAAAAAAGTTGAAAACGAGACTTCTGACGAAACTTTAGTGTGAAAGACACTTTGAAAAAATACCACCGTAAAGAGGACTTCGAAAGAAGACGCACATTTGGTAGAACGTAAGAGCTTCGAAGAGACCAACTGCCGGAATCCCCCTCCTTACACCGTCTTGTCGCACAATCGTCGCGCAATCGTCGCGCACACGTCGCGCCACAGATTCTCATTGGTTTCGACCTCCCGGCTCGGCGACCAATAGCGCTCTCTGTCTCTCGTCTGGCCTGCGCGCGCATACGAAGCGCCGAATTCGATCGCGATCATTTCAAACGCGTTTTCTCATCCTCGATTATTTTCTTTTTTTTTTTTATCGATTCATGGACCACTTTTCGTCTACTCTCAACTGAACGTCCAATCAAATCGCGATATAAATTGGCTACTTCAACGTTTGTCTATTTCTATCGATTAAATTAAATTATCATATGATTAAATGTAAATAAACAAATTCGTTTAATTGATTCTTTTATGGTAATTAACGAAAATCAATGAAAATGATTGATCGGACTAACGTAAGAGAATGCGCTTAGGTATGTACGAGCTAGCGTCAAATTCAGGCCAACATTCCTAACCAAATATACGAAGCATCGTTGGTATTTCTAATACGACCAATAAAGTATCATTGTTAAGAGTAACAAAAATACAGTCGACTATTTAGAATTATATTAACAACATTGATCCAATTGATTTCCACGTAGGATTACGTCGATGACAACGTAATCTTTGAAATTCGTATCGATCAATATCAACGTTAGTGCGTAAAAAATTAACAGAAACAGAACAAGACGGAATTGATAATATGACGTTGCATTTTGTTTTTCTTTTTGACAAAGAGAATGCGGAAATTGGAATCGTCCGAGAAAAATAGATAGAACGACAAATACTTAAATGAATGATTGCCGATGAAGTTATATCGCTTATAGAAAATGTGGTTTCATTCGAGAGTAATTAAAAGCGAGTATCCATCCGTTCGTAGTTATGATGTGTCGACTAACGACCACTAGCAGTTAATGAAAAGAAAGAAAGAGCAAGAGATAAGGGAAAAGAAGAAGGCATTTGCGGTTTTTAAAAGAGAGAAGGCCAGAGCGTTGATCTGATTTGCGAGTCGGCGAACGACAATCAGTGCAGGAAGTGCACTGACTGGCACGAGCTGGTGAAAGTCAAAGTATAGGCGGAAAGTGGGCCGAATGCTTCGTCAAATATTAAGTTAGAAAAGTTTGGACGTCATTTTTATAAGGACAACGAACAAAATAATCCCTAAAAGAGTATATATATATATATATGGATTATAAGGTATCTTTTTTACATGGGAGACGAAATTTAGCGCGATTGTCTTGTACGTGTTATAAATATCACCCCGAGATGAGTTTAATTGTAAGAAAAGAATTAAAAAAAAAAGTAGATAGTTTGAATATAGGAATAAAAAATGGTTCTTTTCGAACGACTACGAGGACGAGGACGAGGACGAGGACGAGGACGAGGACGAGAATGAAGACGAAGATGAAAACGACGAGGACGGTGACACGACGGGCGTGTCGCTCGCTCTACCGTTTCTAAAATAAGTAACAACCCTCTTTCCAGTAGCTTCTCTCTTCGCATCGAAATAGCATCCAAAAGCATAAAATTTGTTCTTTTTAAGCGTGCACTCGGCGTTTCTCACTCGAGCTTGCCGGGACGGTGAAAGAATAAGAGCTATGCCTAACGCGAACGCGCGAACAATTGGAAATAATGAGCGAGACGAAAGTCGATATAAAACTTAACGGATTCACAAACGAAAGGCTAATGAGCCGTTGATGTAAATTTTTACCGGGAATATATATTAATATATATCTAGCAGATACGCGAGACTCTATTGCACGCTTAAGACAAGATTCATTTGCTGATGAATATTACCGTGACGAAAAGGGTCTAACGAAAATCTATACCTCAAATAGTTTTCATACAAACGAGTTCAAGCAGTTCGAACTTTGTTAAAGTTGATTAGCTTCGTCTGATTCTAGATTACATTCTTGATCATCGATCATTCATTAATATAATAAGAATTAGAAGAGAATGTTAACAGGAGGGAGAGTAAGGGTTTGGAATATTTTGGAAAGAACGATAAGGACGTACCGTTGATTTCACATTAAAGTACAAAAATGAAGTGTCGAAAGAGAAACAAAATAATACTTACTGATATCGTTGTTGGCCGACGAATCCTCGTCGTCAAGGGTCGTCGTTTCGAGAGTAACTTTGAGGTCTGTATTATCTTCCTGGAAATTGTTCTCGTCCTTAAGCATATTTTTGTCCCTCTGGGAAATGCCGTGCGAGAAATTGTCTGCAATAATAGGAGCATTGTCGAGAAGCGGATTTTCGAGAACATCGTCCACGTTGTCTGTATTATTCGCGTCATCGACAGCATCAACGTCAGTCTCTGGTCCAAGATCCTCGTAAATGTAATCCGCGGCATCGTTCTCTTCGTGTTTTCCATCAGCACCTCCACAAGTTATCTCATCGTGAAAACCACCGTCATCCATTGGCGTTTCATCCGATCCATTAGCGTGCATCTCTTCTTGATCGTTATCGTACGATTGCTGATGCTGCTGTTGGTATTGCTTCATCTGCTTAAAGAACATGCCATCGCTTAGATCCTTTTGTACGTATGGATTATTTAAGGCCATGTTTTTCATCGATTTCACGACAAGAACAGAATTTACGTCGGTCGACCTCGCTGCTATATCACTCGGTGCCGTTAAGAAGACTACAATCGCTGTAATATTGTCCAACGAGCCTGCGTGTTTGGCTGCTTTTATCAAGCTCGTTACAGCGTAATTTGGATCGTCTGGAAGAAAAACAGAGAAACAACTGGTATATATAAATATATATATATAACTTGAAGGCCAGCAAATACGATGAAAGTTAATGTAATACAACCACGAGGTACTTAGGTAAAGTGACTTAATTTANTATATATATATATATATATATATATATATATATATATATATACATATATATATTGTTGATTGGATTTCGTTTTATAAGTAATCTCTCGATTCGTTCACTTATCACCGACAAGCGTTTTTATTTACATCAACGCTTTGCGTTCATGTCTATTACGGAATATGTGCTATCGTTTTGATAACTGTGAATCATACTTTTCTCGGCATCGCGATTACGTAAATTCTAAGTTCATCGATGTTGACTGAATAACGGATTGTTATCCTTACAACGGCGACATAAATATTCTCTCTATATAAATAGATTCAACTTTACATTGAAAAACAACATAATAATCAAAACCATTGAATAGTCCAAAAGTGAAGTCTAAAATTCAATCGTTGTAACATTGTCAATCATCCGACCGACACGCGAAACCCGTTCCCATTTCTCTTTATAAACCCATTGAGCGAATACGTTTGAGGAGAATTATGATATTTTTCATTACGGTCACACATTCATAGACGACTACCACCGTGTGTTCCTGTTGTCAATAAAAGGCATACGTTTCGAATGGATTTTTCGATACAACGGCGATAACTCTAAGAGACTCGATGGGTGTTTGAGAAAATTCGAGGGATGGAAAAAAAATGTTCCTCCATAATCCGCACCCCGGCAACGTGCGGCCCTGATTTCAGGTGCATTGACCCACGCTGCACTCTTCGTTTCGACGCCTGCGTAGACGTTCTCTCTTCCTCCATTTCCATCATCTGTATCCCTCCCCCTTCTATCCATCCTCCTCCTACCAACCCCCTTCCCCTCCCCCTGCCGCCCTCTATCTCCACCTGTCTGTCTGCCTGCCTGCCTGTTTGTCTATCTGTCTCTTTCGTTTGTACACAGCTCGCTTTCCATCTGCTTTTCCACTCTCTCGCTCACGCTCTAGTGACTTTATTACGTTGCCAGAGAAGCAAGCAGCATCCATCCCTCATCAGATATTAATTCCCGTGACTTTCAGACGAATTTTCGCAAGGGCGCCACATCGACGACGACGACCACCATCATCACCACTACCACCACCACCACAACCACTACCATCACCATCCTGCACACTTGTTCTCTTCTTTTTCTCCCTTAACGCTGCTCGGTCTCTCCCACCCACCTCCTTCTTTTCTTCGATTCGATACCCAGACGATTTCATCCGCAGAAACGTTCGTTTTTAAGCGAGCCCGTCATCCTCGTCTGGCTGCACCCCTTTTCTATACCACCCTTTTCTATACCACCACCACCACCTACACCCTTTTCTATATAGATAAAAATATGAAAATCTTGGATAGACCAAAAGCAATCGTGCGAATTTCAAAAGAAAACGAAATTCGACGTTTCTATTTTTAACGATAAGTTTTAATCGCGTTGAATTTTATCTCTTTCTTTTCACCGTCCCTCCGTGTTCTTTTCTTTTTTTTTTTCTCTCTCTCTTTCGAAATATTTGTATCTCTGATGAAGTAATACTTTTTTCGTTTCTCCGTTTATTTAAAAAATATCTTCTACAGACTTTTCATTTCTCGTGCCTCCCTTGAATATTTTACTTGATTATTTCTATTAATAAGTATAATTGAATCTGACTCATGGCTATAATCATACCAATCACATCAGTTTCCTCGTACTCCGGACACTTCCTTTTCTGCGTAAGAAAGTGTTAGAAATGTTTTAGCGAAATAAGGAAAGAATGGGCGTGTACGATCATCTAGCGAATTAGAGTAATGTTAGACATTACGAGAATAGAATAATAATGTATTTCAAATTTAAACGCATTTAACATCGTTAATGCGAACGATTCAATAAAGATCCAACGCGTTATGCATTTATAACAATCTCTTATAATAGAATATTATTCATTTCAGGCTATCATAATTGACATTTTTTATCTACATAAAAACAAAGTTAGTTAATATTTAATGACATCGTTTAATGATTAATAATAAAAATGATGAGAAAGAATAAATCTTTCTATATATCGAAGTAAAAATATCCTTCCGTGCGCGGTAGAATGAATGAATGATTATATGAATGAGACTTTAGAAACAATGTCGATAACGTCCCTGCTGTCTTCTGGCATCTTGCCATTCATCCATCCATTCATCGAAAAGAAAAGTTTATGGTGAATTCATAAGAAATGATTGGAACGGTGGTGGATCTAGCGAATGCTAGGCTCGAAATGAAATCTTGGTGGATCCAGAGTCGAGTCGTAATTTATTTCACCATTAATAACAGCAACTTTCTTTTCTTTCTCCATTGCGAATTTTCTCCACTCCCTTTCTACATATTTTTCTTGTTAATCTTAACAATATAAGGAATACAAGGATGCACCGTGAAATATGTCTTTAATGTCATCTGAGAATTTATACATTGATGCGAATGAAAAAAGAAAATATTGTAATTGTATAAATAAAGCGAATTTTGAGAAATAACCCGCATTATCTTATTTATTTGCGATCACCGATACGAGGAACGGCAAGTTTCGAGGAGGAGAGGGGTCGCTGAACGAACATAAATGATTTCTCGACAGAGAAATCCTATCTCATGACTCACGTGGCACGATCTGACAAGACGTTTTGCTCGAACACGCCTCGCAGCTCGGCGTTCTTTTACGGAGCTCGATTTCGTTAAAAATAAGTTGCCATTTTTGGAAATCGATGAAGGACTTTTATCGACAGTCGCAATATAAACGAAACGTGATTCGTATAACGATGATGACGACGCGACAAACCAACCAACCAACTAAACGAGTGAACGTTCCAGACAAAAATATAAACGACTCCATTAAGAGTTAACACGTCATTTTAATTAAATCCACGCGATTAAATGTTCAGGTCAAGATAGTCTATCAAGATGTTTAAAAGATAAAGAATATCAATAAAGGCGACAGTGTAAAGATTAAAGTCTCAATTTCAGTATCGCAAATTAATACCAATTAAACATAAAAGGAAATAACTATACCAACCTTTTTCGATACATTCGAGAAATAGAGTAATTATGTTAATTGATCTGATTAACGCGACCTACACACTCTTTCTACTTATATATATACGAATCCTTTTTGTTCTTACATTCATACGGGACATTTATATTTTCAATAGATAACAAATCAAACGAATCATATTTAACAAAGATAGTTTTATTTAGTGAACAACGATTACCACCACCCTCTCTCTCTTTCTCTTTTTCTCTCATTTATTTTATTTTTATTTTTTTTATCGAAAACGATCTATATCAACAAGACTCATTCGTTCAGAAAACATCCTCAATGGTATTCCTTACGAAACACGAAGCGGAACACATCAGTCTGTCTATATTTTTACTAGAGGATCGTGGCTCGATTCGGATTCTATCCGAGAAACCACTGCTCCACCGCGCAACTCGCTCTTTACGAAGGAGTTTAAATTACACGGAAATATTAGATTACGCGGCAACCGCGATATTACGGCAGAGGGTAGACAATGAAGGAGGAAAGATGTTATTCAAAAAGCACTCGGGGGAGTACTCTAGACGATACGTATACTCTTCTCGCTTGTCCACTTTCTACCAAGTCCCTTATAGGTAAAAGATATGCATTTACAGATGCATACAATATTATATTATATCTAAGTGCATCCAATTTTCAATTTCGTTAGATATAAAAATCCATACACATCCATATATATATATATATGGATATATAT